CGGCCAGGAGGCATGGCAGGGCTGACAGGTCAGACAGGTCAGATAGGTCAGACAGGTCAGCAACTGGGATCCCATCAAAGATTATGTGTTAGTAAAGCCGGACGGACAGAATGATCGGCTGAGAATGGCGGGCAGAGTGTACCTTCGTCGACTTCCATTTATTTGCGGTATGCCCCTCTGACGGCCAACTTACCCTGTTGCGCCCCTCTTTCGGAAAAACTCCTGGTGTCGTTCAGGCCTGAAATATGTTCAATATGCCCCTACTGGTACCGGTTCCAAATTTCCAGTATGCCCCGGTAGCTCCCCTCCCAGGCCAGGGGAACGGCTGCGAGTGCCACCAACGGTCACAGGGGCATGCTGGAAAGTTGCACACCTTACTGACAGGGGCCTGCAGGAAACTTCAGAGGCCCCAGGGGCACGACAGGGTAAGTCGCCCGTCGGAGGGGCATACCGCAAATAAATGGAAGTCGGCGGAGCATTTCAAAAATTTTACCTATCATATTATAGAATTTATAATTTTAATATTTTTATAGTCCAATTATTCCACTTTTCGATTCGTGCCAAAATGTGGAAAGATTTCAAATTTGGCAAATGTTTAATTGCAACGAGTGTATTTTGCATGGTTGCCAACCGGACGTCCGGATCCCGATCCAGACAGTCCGGTGTCCGGTTTGGAGGGTCCGGTTGGACCCTCATTTCAAGAAATTCGGAAAAAACTTTTGGGGTCCCCAGGTCATTTTCCTGGGCCTGGGGTGCCCCAGAAAATTGTTGCTGTAGTTTTTTGTCGACCGTAGCTTCAACCGGACCGGCCTGAAGGGCCCGCTGTTGGAGAACTTGGAGGGTAGTAGCAGCCGCAGTATCCTGGTTTTGGTTTTCCCGCCGGCGGGAGGACCCCATTTTTGAACAAAGCGCCTCGTGCGGCAGCGCTCCCTCTGGTGTAGCAGTGCTCTCCTCGAAGTTCCCGCCCGCTGCAGCCACGCCATCACCAGCTCGAGCTCCTCCATTGCCCAGGAGTCCAGGAGATTGCCACCGACGAGAAGGTTGCCGTCTTGCCGGTTCAAGATTCGAAGCTCCAAACTGTGAAGTTTGGAACATCAAAGTTCTTGGGGGCTGGAGCGGGTATGGAACTGATGCTTGGGGGCAGGAGCGGGTATGAAACTGATAATTGGGGGCAGGAGTGGGTATGGAACTGATGCTTGGAGGCAGGAGCGGGTATGGAACTGATGCTTGGGGGCAGGAGCGGGTATGGAACTGATGCTTGGGGGCAGGAGCGGGTATGGAACTGATGCTTGGGGGCAGGAGCGGGTATGGAACTGATAATTGGGGACAGGAGCGGGTATGGAACTGATAATTGGGGACAGGAGCGGGTATGGAACTGATGCTTGGGGGCAGGAGCGGGTGTGGAACTTTGCTCTGTGTGTGTGTGTGTGTGTGTGTGTGTGTGTGTGTGTGTG